AATATGTACTTAGAATTTGTGGCATTTTGCGTTTTGGTATGGACAAATTCTAGCACATCAGATTTGGAATGCGTTGTGATTTATGCAGAAATTTTGGGTCATCCACAAAATTTTTGCTGAAGATTTTGCTCAAAGGTGAGCTTATTTCTAGGATGTTCAAATAAAAAGGGTGTGCACAAAACCAAAAGCCTTCCAGATTGGAATAGGACACCCACCAACTGCAAAACAGCACTTCTTGAAGGCGCTCAATTGGTAACCACCAATTGCTCTTTAGTTGGTATCTAGCTCGTTTCTACATGTTAGATTCAACAAGTACTTACAAAGTTTGCTTACTAGAAATACTGTAATATCGGCAATGCTGTTTCTTCACATACATTTTCGGTATAATGCACTCGGCACGCAGTAGTTCAGTAATTTACCTAAATATTTTGGTGGGTGTAACGTACTAGTAATTAGTATCACGATTGTTGGTGCCTGCTTCACGAAGCTATGAAGTGCACTTTACTCATTAACGTTAATCGTCGCTTAACTCGTCGACAAAATTTTCGTTCCCAGGCTCGAGGTTTGATCCTAGCGCCGTTGCGCTAGACGGATAAACGAATATCGGCCGCTTCGATGGCGGGAACAGCGCGAGCAATGCGTCGACAGTGCTGGAAAAAGGAAAGCAGAATCTTTAGCAACGTAGCAGCAACAGAAAAATCACACGCAAGAAAAAACGTACCCAGCAGATGACTCCAGGTATTCTGGACGCTGGTGCATAAGTACACGCATGAGGTAGAGAACTTTTTCGAGCACTTGGTACGACTGGAGAATTGCCCAGCTTTCTCCCCCGACGTCGAGCTCTTTCAGCACCTGGAGGTTCTCATTGAAACGGATGAGTTCGTTGATTGGCAACAGCTTGGGATTCTGCGTCGTGAGAACCGTGGCCAGAAAGGTGTACGACGTCATTGTAAGAAATCCAAAGGACTTCGTTGCTTTCGCCTTCGAAAGTCGGTGGAAACCTTCTTCGACGTCTTCCATTGTGCGGAATCCTTTGTTTGGAGTCACATATATTCCTGTCATATGCGGGGGAGGCATTGATTTCAGGTCGAGCGACGGTGAAAAGGAAGTTCCTGACATCTTGTACAACCACCCGTGCACATCGTGCAGACGGCCTTGCTGTACATGACTATCTCTGAAAGCACCCAGCCGGATAACCATGATACCAATAAGTTCTGCGAGCTGCGAATCCTCTCGTGGCTCCCATTCTTCGTATGATCCTTCAAGTATTTCCATCACGAATGTCATGATGTCCCCGAATCTCGAAGCAGTGTAGTCATTCACGCTCTCCCACTTCCGAGCCTCAGCTACAACTGATGACAGCTTTTCTTGGTCAATGACAGATGTTTGTGCTGGTCTTTTATACTTCTGCGTGATAAACTTGCGTAGCTGAGTACTGCACCTGTACACGATGAAAATCAGAACAATGGCATAATGAATAACAAACAAATTCGGCTTCATTGCGTTCGAGGACACGTACCATTTAAAGCGCGCGGCCGACCCAGGAAAAGTATCTTGAAGATTCTTGAGCAGCTTTAGCAGATCACGCAGTCCGGAGCCCTCCAGTTTTCCATCGGTCTCAAGAGCAGCACGCACGACGACGGCAAGAATCTGGCGTAAATCCTCTAGGCGGTCTAATATGTCGGTACAGCTAGAGTCCCGATCCAGCAGCGCACTACTAGCAGCCCGGGCATTGTTTACAGCGATCTGAACGCTTTCTTCTTCGCCTTTTACTTTTGTCAGTCGAGCCACCTTCAGTGCAGATTTAATACTGGCGGAAATGACATCGTGTTGCTCTGCACCCGAAAGCTTGGACAAACGCTTTTCCAGGCCATCGATCACTTGTGCCACTTTCTTTTCACTTTGCTGGACTGGGGAGCGGGGTCTACTGTGAAGAAGCCGATACTGGTGGTGTCGTGGCCAAACGCTTTGTCGTTCCAGCTCACGACGGATCATTAGATCTACTGTCGTAGTCGGTCTTAAGAAGGAGTGGGCAATAGGAGGTGCGAGACTAGTAGCCCGCCGCTTTTGACCAACGTATTCTGGGCCAGATGCCAATCCGTCTGAAGAAATATCATAGCTTGCACTCGAACTTAGTGCACCAGAAACTGTTCGAGGTGTCGGGAGCTCACCCGTTCTCCCTTGGTCACGCACCCTAAAGAACGACGGTGCTGGACCTCCTTTGTGCGGATTCATGATCCATCCTGATGATCCTAGACCCGAAGATCGGTACGGACCTGATGCTGGTGTCTCTCGATACTGTTGCCTCACTCTCTCGTGGTTCGCAGGCAACGTAAGTTGTTCCTCGTCCTCGTCCTCCGTCGAATACCCCGAAGATCCACGCGATCGACTTGAAATAGTAAACGCGTTCAACATGCACTGAATATCTCTCAGTACTGGACCAATCTGCTCGCTGGACTGTGCCATCCCTTTAACAGAGGCCTCCGCATCAGATGGCAGCGTCACGACAGACCGCTGTGCATTGTGCACGTCTCGAGCGACGCGCACCACATCCTGTAGTCGCTTCAGGGACGCAATGGCGTCAGTCAGCTTGACCTCCGTCTGCTTCACCTCGTCCATTACGGCGTCCAAGCAGAGCGAGCGCTGCTGAGTGGGGTTAAGCCCGGCGCGAGACAGAATCACGTCCATAATGTCGGATTCTGAAATGTCATGCGCGGGAACAACCTCTAATTTCTATTCCAACACAAAATTTCCAATAGCGTTGTACTTCTCCCACTGGTGCGAGCAAAATAAATGACGATGCGACACAATTTGATTGGTAAAAAAAGAAGATAATTAATATTCTTGTCACAGTAATACAATGCCGCTAAAAACTATAGCCGCATTCATTTTTTTGACGCAACGCAAGCAATACTTGATCCCAG